ATGACATAAGTTAGAGGCCCTCTGACATGACATTATCAAGTAAGTAAGGCTAAATGAATTAATAAATACATGATTTTGCCAAGAGGAAAATGTTATATTAGTAACTCAGCCTGTTATACAACCAAATTAGACACTTTGAAATAAGAAGCCTGAACACAAACATTGTTATACCTTTTTGCCTCTGTTTTGGAATTAATGCTTCTAGTCTATAGGTCAGGTAAACAATATACTCCATATCCTTAAAAAATGTAAAGAATGAATATAAGTACCCCATGGCTATTTTACTTAGCCTTGCTGATAATCAAAGTAGATTATTACCTAATCGATGTGAATTAAGATTAAATTCCCCATCTCTACTCAATCATCTAAAAAATTCTTGACTTATTTCTTTGAATTCTAGCAATTAGAAATTCATTTGAGCTATCAAGATTCTCTTTTTTATGATACAAATATGCCTAGGGAAATAGCAGTCATTAGCAGTAGAAAGTATACCCGTTTTAATCAGACTGCTTTCCTTTTAAATTGTACTTTGGAGCACTCCTGACCAACTGGACTACGAATTCTTTGTAGGTCCAAGAGTCTGTCAGAACAATTTTGGAAGTGTATCATGATCATGGCTTAAAGCTAAACTGCATGCAGCCTATACTCTGGCTTGTCTGGACTCTCCTGGAAAGATGCCGATCCTAATGGCAATGCTTACAAGCGTAATTCATGGATCAGAGGGGTGACATGGGATACAGCTGACTGCGAAAAAAGAGTGAGAAAAAACAAGATGACATTTTCCCACTGGGCTCTTGTGGACTTCAAGAGAACAGGAATACTGGGGTGAGCAGTCTCCACAGAAGTAAGGCAGTGCCAGAGGCTTGGGCCTCTGGGACACACATAAGTGCTCTCTGTCCTCTGCACCTTCAATTTTGGCCCAGGCGTTGGCAGGCCAAGCATTGGCAGGCCACCTCAAGTGGGCACTACCAAATATGCTTGTAGTATTGGGATCTTCCAAAATTATGTGGGAATTTCCACACAACAACTGAGAAGGAAGCAGTAGCAAAAATTGATTTGTAACAGTTGTTAATATGAAAGTGTGGCCTGTGAAACCTAAGGTTTTTCAAGAGGAAAAAATAACAACTCTCAACGATCTTCCAAGCCAAAAGTACAATTGAAGAGGCCAATCTTTCAGTGTTTGGGGTGTCAGTTACTTCATTTATACAATGGGAATTTTACCTGCTTCTACCACCTGCTTTAAAACTTGAAAGCTAGATATTACAGCATGAATACATTCATGTGTTCGAGCAGAACTTAAAACCAACTTAAAATACCAGTGTTTTAGATTTTAATAAGAACACATTTTTGACCTTAAAATTGACTAATTTTTTAACAGAAACATTTTCCCCCTTTATCGCTGATTATAATTTTAGCTTTAGTGTTATACAGAAAGCGGATGAAAGAAACTAGAAAACAGAATTAGAGAATGCTCCAATTTCTTTAAGGTAAAAAAAACACTTTAAACAAAGTTATTGTCCCTTTTCCATATTTCTTAATCATGCGTCCTTGATTGTCTCTGTGATGATAAAAGTTTGCATGAAACAAAGATCCCATTACAAAGTAAATAGAAGCTAAATACTGCTTTTAAAAGATTTTTCTCTTAAATTTCCCAATAGAAATGTTGTTTTAAAGATCAGTATAATATCAAGTTGGTAAAAACCTTAGTCTCATCTAAAGCAACCTTCATTTTACAAATGAGAAAGACAATTCTCAGAAAGTTGTAACTTACAGGCATCTCAGAGCCATGGAATGGCAGAGTTGGAAGCAGGTGTCATGTCTGCTCAGTGCCAGTTTTCAAGGCACTTTTCACAGTGACACACATACACACACACACACACACACACACACACACACACTAGTGTATCACACAGCACATTGCTCACATTCCTTTCAAAAATTAGTAAAATAATGTGATTTAAATTAGGAATGAGACTTAAAAGTGAAGTGTGCATGAGAGAAAGAGAACCACTTTATGGAAACACCAATGTCAACAAATTACATCCTTTGGCATTTTGCAAGGAGTGGAGCTTTTAGGGGATCTAAAAAGTCTAAATTCAATTCCCTAAGCCAAACATTCAACAGGACAGTTGTACATTTAGGTCACCTTGAGTATACACTAGCACTAGATAAGAGTTTTTTATTTGTTCATTTCTACCTTTTGACAGATTTTGAGAAAAAAATAAAGTACTGTGCAATAGTAAAGAGGGAAGATTGTCTACTAGTCTGGAATAATCATTTCTATCATAACATTGCTGCTGGCACGTCACCCGAGTCCAGGCCTGAACGAGCTCACATCTGGATCACACCTCTGAGACAATCGGGTCCTCTGCACACAGCTGCCTTCCCATCCTCCCAAGCTGCACCTCACTGCCAAATTTATCTCCTTAAATCTTTGTTTGCATTATATCACCCCTGTAATCAAGACCTATGATGGTGTGTGTTTACCTGTTTATTGATCCATGCCCAAATATTTTAATATGGCTTTTTTTGGCTCATCATAAACTGTGTGCCTCTCATAAATTCTACTTCCTGGCAGGCTGACTGCCTATCTCTCCAGTAGAGCAGTCTTATTTACATCACCAACCCTTCACTATTGCTTTTTCCCTTGTCTATCACGGACCTCTCTTCCCAAGTATTTCAAATCCTACCTGAGCTTCAGGGCACCCACTCTTGTCCTCCTTGCAGCTGTTCTCCACCACTCCGCTCCCCACTATGGAAGCTCAGGTAGGAGGTAGCTCTCACTTCCCTGGTTTCATGATTTTTTCACTTACTGTGTCATATTCATTAGTCTTGTATTCCCAAATTCAACGTAACATCTTTTAGGGCAGGAATCACATCTTAGAAATGATGTCTTAGGAATCTTCTTGAGTCTTCATCCCACCCCATTCCCATATACTCTAGCATCTTGCTAACTGTAGCAGATTCTCAGTAAATACTTTGACTGTCGGCCAGTCCAGACAAGGTGGAGGAAGAGGACGCCACCTTCATCGGTACTGGCAAAGCACCAGTACTATTTCTGGGCTTAATTCTCAGACCCATTGCTTTTCTTTAGGTTCCAAATCACTCCACCACTAAATTATTCCTGACTTCTTCCTCTGCAGGATTTGTTAAATCAGTCCCTTCTCTCTAACCACAGTCCTAAGTCTGATCCATTTCTAACCAAGATTGCAACATCATCTTTTTGACTACCATCTCTTACTCCAAGGACATGACCAACGAAAGTTTCCATTTAGATTCCATTTCTTTTACCTCCAGAAGAGTAATCACAGCCCTTCCCAGTTTTAAGCTGTAGACATTTCATCTGTGAAGACTCTCCTCCTCCCACATTAATGCCCCAAGCCCAAGTGTCCCTACCACTCAGCCTAGCTAAGACTACAAAATACTGCTAGTTTACCTTCCCCTCACCCTCTTCAAAAGGACCATGATGCAGAGGAAATGCCTTGAAGTAGTTAGGATTTTTCTGCTACCTTACCACATTGGAGAGCCAGAAGCACCTTATTTCCAGCTGCATAAACCTCCCCCGCCCCCTGCCCGCCCCGCACACGAAGTTCCAGCTCTCTCTCTCTGTTAGCACTGTGTCCCAAGGTGGTGAGGGGAGCATCCAGTGAGTTCCAAGCATCTTGGTACCCCTTCCACCAGCTACTCTCCCATTACACCAGGTCATCACACCTAGTGGTCCTTAACCTAACAAATCGGATTAAACCTTCAAAGTGAAAAAAGTACCCCCTCCACAATTTCTCCTTAAAATAGGAAATAATATACACTTTGTGACGTGCTGGCATAAGAGAAGCCACTGCATTGCCAGTCCTGTAAAAGTATAGCAGATACAATCCTGTATATTACATAATTTTGATAATGATAACAACTATGTTACTGGCTTATGTATTTATTATATCATAGTTTTTATCTTTATTTTCGAGTATACTCTTGCTACTTATAAAAAAGTTTGCTGTAAAACAATATGCCATGTTACTCAGACTGCAGCTTCATACATCTTGTGGTTACCAAATCTCTTGAGCTTGATTTAAACTTGTGTTGCTTTATACAGCAACATGCTATATAGGCTGATAGCCTAGGCTATTCCATATAACCTAGGTGTGTAGTGGGCTAGGCTTGTGTAGGTGCAGGCTACAATGTTCGCACAATGGGAAATCGCCTAAGGTGGCATTTCTCAGACTGCATCCCCTCCTTAAGTGGCACATGACTGTATTCCAAGTAAATCATGTGTGTATTTCATGGATAATGCCCTAAGTGAAACATGTCATTTCCTCTTGTTTCGCTTCCCTATCAGCAAGAGGAGATTCAGGTCTCAGAATGTGTCTTCTTTTCTTCTCTAGCTCCTCCCAACTGCCCTAGCAAGAAATGGGTGTAATAATTCGTTCCCAAGCCATGAGCCAGCTGTCTCCAGGGGTCCTGCCCCTCCTACCTCTGGCAGACACACACACACACACACACACACACACACACACACACCCCAGGCAAATGGCTCTCCACCTTGCTCAGCGCTCCCCGTCTGCATCTTAAGCCAAGAAGTTCCCTTTCCAATTCCTCTCAGGTTACCCCCCTGCTCGCTCCAGTCTCCCATGCTCCTTCTTTAGTGGACTTCCCTCCCAGCCACTCGCGGCACGGCGCCCACCCGGCTTCAAGGCCACCCCTGTCCCGAGCACCAGGTCCACCGTTCTGCGCCCAGGTTTGCAGCACGAGCAGGCGCCCCCGCCCCGCCGTCCCTTCCTTCCGCCCTCTGGCCGCCGCAGGCGCCCTGGGACAGCCCTAACAGGTGGTGCCCAGTTGCGCGACCCTTAACCTTGCGCTCTCCAGTCGTCCAAGTTCTCCGACCCGCCCCTGTCAGCCCCAGTGCGCCCTCGCGACCAGTTGCTAGCGAGGATCAGGGTTCGCCTCCTTTTGTCTACACCCCAGACTTTTCTGCTGGGTCTCCAGTGCCCAGCGCGGCCACTTACCCAAGGCGAGGGCCAGGAGCAGTGGCAGCGAGCTGGCGCCGCTGCGGGGGACGGTCCGGTCCATCAACCCCGCGCTGCGGGGCCGCGCAGCCCCTGGAAGTCTCCGGCCTCCTCCTGCGCCCCTTTCCCAGGCCTCGGGCGTTCGAGGGGGTGCCTGGAAACTAATCCCGGAGCCAGCAGGAAACGAAACTACTCCTCAGGCTGGAACCCTGGCTACAGGGCAAGCAAACACCCAGGGCGGAGGCCGGCGGGCTCCGGGAGTGTTGCTGGGAGGAGAGAGCCTCGTATTTATTCTCGCTCACACCCCACCAGCGAGGCGCAGGACTTCATGGTGGTAGTGTCCAGGTTGTTCCCACCCAAATTACCCCACACCCACACCCACACTCAAGTTCATATTGGGGCTGCCTTTGGGCCAGCTCAGCCGCTCCACCTGCTGGGTCACACCTGACTTTGCCTGCCCTTCTGCCTTGGGGAGTAAACAGGTAGGGAGGGAGCAAGGAAAGAATGGACTGGAGGAGTGTCAGATGTACCCGAAGGGGCCCTGCAGGCCTGCGCTGAACTCCAGAGGCACAAAGATGCTCTGGAATTCTAAATTCCTTTATTTCAGCTTGTTGCTGGTCCCTTGAAGGGACCAGAGTCGTTGTTCACTGTGGTTAACCTCACACGCTGGACAATTTACAAACCTTTTTTACATATATCATGTATTGGATAGCCAGGAGTTTTGGCTCACCGAGAACTGCTTTAGCAATTTCATTTATGTTTTTATTTATCAATTTACTCATTTATTCATTGTATTTTCAGTTATTTATTTAATTCATTTGCTCTATTGGATCTGTAAAAATAAGAAAGCTTTTTGCCTGCGGCTTGCCAAGTGCTGTCTCTACTTCATTACACCTTCTCTTTCATCTGATGGTTCTGCACCAAACACTTTCTGGAACACAGAGGCATCCTCGCAGCTTTCAAGGACATAAAGCAGCATCCATTGTTTAATCACATCCATATGTGATTAATATGTTTGCCTCCACAATAACTAAAGAGTACAGCTGTTTTACAGTAGGATCTATATTCCTCTTGCAAAATCAATATGTGGATTCATGCCCGTTTAGAACAGAAGTTGTATTTCTATAGCATCCAAAGCCCAGTAACACTCATTTACGTATGAAATGCCATTCAGATGTTTGCCCCTTCTTCCCATTGTTTAAATTAAACAAATTATTACACATTTTTCTTCCAAAAGTGATATTTTAAAACCAGTCTACATCATTTTCATGCTCCAAGTTACCTAACTATCCAGAAGAATAAACATCAGCTGTTAATTTTCAGAATCCCATGTTAGCCCCCATATAACAGAGAGGGCTCACATGGGGTTTAGAGAAAACCAAGATTGTGGGATAGACCATTACTGCACCCAGATAAAAAGAGGAGAACAAGAAGGTAAGGCTTTGGCACTGTTTCCCTCTCTCCTTCTTCCTTTCTGATCAGGGCCCTATGTTAAGGCATCTTTCACTCTGAGATGACATCCTAGCCAGTAGCAGTCCTGATATCTGCAACAGAATATTACTATTTTATCTTCCTTTCCATTGATACTAATAGAAAATAAAGCACACTTAAACAAAAAACACTTAATTTTTATTGAGTATTGTAAAGTGCCAAGATTTGGTGTAAGTATTCATCATTCATGCCATTCAAATGGTAAATTAACTTTTCAGGCCTCTGGAGAATGAAATAGTATAATTTAATATACTAAATAGGCCAGATAAATTAATAACCTTCCCTAAGGGCTTTATTTACTACCACAAATAAAATAAGTACTCTGGAGAACATGTCTTTCAAATTTCCTGACACTGGAGGTGCAATCTCTTCAAGGTCAAGCAACCTCCTTCTTTCCCTCCCTCCTCTTATCCCTCTTCCTCCTACCTTCACCTTCTGCTCCTCCTTCCCCTCCTCTCTCTCTTTCTTTGTTCATTCACTCATGAGGGGAGGTAAATCTAGGATCCAATCATTAACTTCAGAAGAGTAGATGGTGAGAATTGACCTTCCTGGGGGCTCGTTCTTGTAAGGTGTGTCTCAATGCTTTAGATTATAAATTGAGATTGCTTGAATGGTGTCTTGCCTGTGCCAGCTTTAGGCAGGTAAAACCAGCCCTCCCAAATCTGGTATGAAGCTTAAGCGAATTTTTGGAGGGCCTGTAAGCATCAATCTTTACCCTTCCCGCACAGAGTACTCTTC